GTAAGAATGTGTAAGGATGGGTAAGAATGTGTAAGGATGGGAGAGGATGGGAGAGAATGTGTAAGAATGGGAGAGGATGGGTAAGGATGGGAGAGGATGGGTAAGAATGTGTAAGGATGGGAGAGGATGTGTAAGGATGGGAGAGGATGTGTAAGGATGGGAGAGGATGGCTAAGGATGTGTAAGGATTGGGGAGGATTGGTTAGGATGTGTGAGGATGTGTAAGGATAGAGAAGGATGGGAGAGGATGTGTAAGGATAGCAGAGGGTGTGTGAGGATGTGTAAGGATAGGGAAGGATTAGTGGGAATATGTGAGGATGTGCAAGAATAGTTAGGGGTGCATACGTGTGGGACCGCTGTGTATTGTCTTACATGTGACCGCCCTCATTTGCATACTCGGGACAACTTAAATGAAGCCGTAACCTAGAATTTCAAGTTTGAGAGAGGTGAGTAAATATTTGTAATTATTCGTTTATTTTAGGTCCTTTTAGTCTTTTAGAATGCGTTATGAATGAAAACTGGAAACTAGCTACTTGCTGTAATAAGCAAATGAGCCCTTCGGTGTGGTGGAGAGTGTTTATACTGATGATCAGTGTGCAGATTTTTTGCTGCAGCTTTGATTTTCGTACACCAGTAGATTATTTCGCGCGTTCTGTTTTTGTTTACATGATGACGTAGTAAATAATTCATATGAACGCATGGAATGTAGATTATTGGTAAGCAACCCACTCTGTTGTTGTTGTCACTCAACTGTCACATAATTTTTGCCTACCTCTTGCTGGTCGTGACGTCATAGACTCAGGGATCGCACAATCATTTGAAAGTTCAAGGACTCGAAAAAAAAACAGACTGATTTGAAACAGGTTGTTTTATTGCTATGAATTGTATTATACCGGGTATTTACAAGATTGATAATGTTTTCTGTTCGTTATCAGTATTGATCATCCTTACACATGTGTACTATATATGATCATTTGTTTATTTCAATATTTGTCAGCAAGTGCAGTTGTAAAAACATGTTACAGAATTTGCTTGGTCTCCCTTGGTGTTCTACTATTGTGGTGTGAAATACAGTTGACTGTCTATGTACATGTATTAGAAAACATAGATTTAACTATGTCACAGAAACTGCATAGATGCCTATGCCCTATAGCATGACCATGGTCTATAGCTAATGAAATGCCTTTTAACCACTCTATAACTAAGATATTTCAGCATTGCAAATACATGAATGTACACCGAGTTCTAAGAACATTTATTTATCTTTCACCAGAAAACATGGCTCATACTAAGTTCTGCATTGTGATATTAGTCAGAAGACATGCAAGCTGTATACTAACTTAGTATTCATATTTTTATGAAGTTTTAGGACTGATGTCCTGTCTCCTTATCATTTACATCTAAATCAGTACAGGTCTCATTGGGTACAACAATGAGAGGATAGTAGACTTTGGACACTATGTCCTTGTTGGGTTTGTACAGTTTAGTAGAGAAGAAATCCCATAACATCTTGTTGTAACCTGACGTGCCTATCACAAGCAAGATGTCCACAGCTGACAGCAGTTCGCTGTAGTTGGAGGACACATTTGTGGCTAGGACGCTCAGCTTGAACACAGCCAGGACTGAGCAGTAGGCAAACTGAATCAGGTAGTTGAGAGCATACAATGCCAGACTCAAGAAGTA